ACAAAATAATTGCATAATTATAAATTTTGTTTTAAAACAAAATTTATAATTATGCAATTTCACAAAGATTTAAAAAATCGTTCTAATATTGCGCGGAGCGACTGAAACGCATGCGCATGTGATCACAGCGCATGCCATGTCAATACATTTCGTTGATATGACAGATTTTCTAACCCTAAATAATGCGAACTTTAACGATTAATATCTCGGTTCGCGGGGCAGAGTGACACTTTTTTTGCCAGATTCTTTCATTTTGTGCAAAAATGCGGCGAATGAGCCTATTTTTATCAAAATCGAAAATGAGGGACCTAAACTAAACATTTACTAATTATGAAATGAAAGAATAAATAATGTGAAATAGTTACGTGGACATATCTTGTATCTTTAGATATGATTTCAAGATTACGATTCTTTTGACTGAATATCCAACGCTAAATGATAACGATATCACGTATTCTAACCACTTTTAGTCGTAGTTCTCTTTTATAAAATCATTATCAAAACTTTCAAAAAAATATCAAAATCAGAAAGAAGCCTGAGAGTGATCATCGGCCTTTTTCGTGGGTCGACGGTCGAAACTCTCCGTACACTAGCGCACCAACGTTCATTTTTACACGTGGTACTACGTATCACGTCTATTTTGCGACATGCCGATAAAGTCGCCATGTCAAAAATGGATGGTGCGAGTTCGTGCTACATCCATAATTCATGGATGCATAATGCTATAATTATAAATGCATCTTATGCGATTTTATTTATTCATGTGTCATAAAATTGCATGCAATGCAGTCACGAATTGTGGATGTAGCACGGATTGGTATCACATCTATTCGACATGGCGATTTTATCGGCATATCGCAAAATGAACGTGACACGTAATACCACGTGTAAAAATGGATGTTAATGCGCTAGTATACGGAGGGAGTTTCGATCATCTCCGCACGGGAGTGAAGAAGTTTCCCAGATAGCTAAGTATGATATAACATATTGAGCGAACTAATGCATTGCATGTGTGTTGCTATATTTATATATTTGCCATATATTTACTGACATCGAAATAAGACACGTAACGAATACAATACCTGTTTATGGATGCAATCAGTCAGTAAACGGTCAGCAATAGTATATTATGTTATCAGCAATATATCACCAAATGATTAATTGTTTCATTTTGAGCTTCATGATGAAAACATGACGGCAACAAAACATATATAATGATTTCCATTCGTTGTCATTATGTCTTCAAACATGAAGATTTTTAATTATAGTTCAATGCTAACAAAGTGTTGATAATATGAAATGTCACACGTTTATGGCAACTTTTCAGCAAAAAGACATATAGTTTTCGAGATTTATATACAAGTTGTAAATATTAATTTCTAATTATACTTACAAATATACATATTATCCTAAGCAACTGATGTATGTACATTGCAACTTTATATTAATCATATTACACATAATATAGTAAAATAAAATAAGAAAATAAAATAGAAATATGAATAAAAATTAACATTCCCTGATTAATTAATGCAATTTTGATTAAATGGTAATATAGTTATATTAGAAGCGTTTTTGAAACAAATTGTTGTCTTGAAATCTGTTTAAAAGTTGCTTCTGATATAATTTTATTGCCATTTTGTTAAAAAATGCGATATTTCTGGACACAGGTTGTTGTTTCAAAAATAATAAGTTTATATATTCTCTTGAACATTGTTCTCTTGAACGATGTTGTTTTGAAATATTTACAATGCACAACTCTGGTAAAAATTATGGATAAAATCGGACAGAAATGGATATGATTTCTATCGACTAAACTGTAAGCTATTGATTTTATCTGTATAGACAACTAATAGAAACCGATAGAAATCTTGTTTGTTTCTGTCCGTTTCTGTCCATCATTTTTATCAGAGAAACTGGCACAGAACATTTAAGTGTATATTATCAGCATATGCAACATTCGTTATTTGACATATGTTGCCGTCATATTATTGTTAACATGTTATTGAGTGTGGATAGCATATCGATGATGATGAATTGCTTTCAAGTTATCGCCAATTTACTATCAATATGTTGATAATTGCGGATAACAAATTGACAAATTGAAAAATTGAATTGTCGTTAAGTTGTGAATAATAGATTGATGCTGTCATCGATTTGTCATTATTAAAATTATCATTCCATTGAGTTCAATGCGACAGATATAATGCTATCTCACCTTGTCCCGAGTTTGTTTAAATTAGTTGTTGCAACGACTTTCGCTATATGACAGCAAATTTGAAACATTTTGTTATCTGGGTGTATCATGGTTTCCTGCAACACGGGAAAAATGGGACATTCGAAAATGAGGGTTGACGTAACCAATCAAAAAAACGCTAACATGATCTCCATTACAGAAGTTCTGATCGTTTCGGCAATCTTTATAAATATTTTATGTAAGTAATATATAGTTATTTAAATAGTTATTTATAGTTCTAGACTATAAATAGTTATTTATAGTTATAAATAGTTATATATAGTTATTTAAATAGTTAATCAATCAATAATTAACGCAATAATTAATTAATTTAATAAATAAGAGTTACAATAAACTGACCTAATTTATCATATTATTATATTATTTATTATATTATTATATTTATTATATAATATTATTTATTATATATTATTTATTATATATTATTTATTATATTATTATATATTATATAATATTACTATCAATTTGTATTCAAATTTTCAATAAGCCTTTGTGGCAATATAGGCTGGATTCCGTAAAGCGTATATGCGCACATTTTGTTATAGTACGTGACATGAACTATAGATAAATGCACACATCTGCGCTTTACGGAATCCAACCATAATCTCAATTAAATTTACATTTTTTATTCTTTAATCGTCGAGACGAAAGAAATTACTAATTTTTTAAACAGAGTTTTAAAAAAAGACTGTATTAATATAAATTTTATTTCAGATTATTTCGCTGATCCAACAATACTAAATTATTGGACACGGAACATATATTTGCAAACACAAGCAAAAAGTAAACAAATTTATAAATTTGTATATTTTAATCGATGAATCTTATGTTATAATTTTTTATATTTTATTTTTCCAGAATGTATTTTCCAGAACATACACCACTTATATATATAGAATAACATGGAACATCCAATCTATATAAGAGGCTCAACTACATAAACAAGTAATATGCTAACTTATAATATAACATACAGTATCTAAGATAATTTTTGTATTATTATGATGCATATATTGTGATAAATTATGACTATATAAGTATGGACTGCTAGCTCCCCACTTTTCCCATGTTAAAAGCGTATGCCTGTTGTCACCAATATTGAATCGAGTTATTTCGAGATTTAAGCTTTGCCCCAAATGGTGGATAATTCAAAAATCAAATAAGGATTTGCGTAAACGAACAAATATATTATATTTTATTAACATTTTATAAAAATTATATAATTATAAAATCATGTACTAATTAAAAACAAATATAAAATATATAAAATTATTATTTATTATCCTTTAAATATAACAATTTTTGTCAACGTATGTCGAATGAAAAAATTATGTTTATTTCTTGTTTCACACGCTCCGAAGTACGGCATTTTAATATTATTACGTTTAAATAAGTTTTGTGCAGTCAATTTAATTAACTCGTATTTATAGTTTTCAATAATATGCAAGTTTCGTGATATGATCCTCAAATAAAATGATATAAACTGATATGAACTGATATGCACTGACTAATCACTCACGTTTTGAAGACGTCACGCATTTTAATTCGTGGGACATGGTAGTGCCACTATTTAAATTAGGGGCTTTACACAATGCGAGGGCATAACGATAGGAACATCGATAAAAATAATATAGAAATAAGTGATCACCTCGCATTGCATAATGTCATAAAAAAAAATAAAAGCCAATCAATCAAATCGCATATGAAGAGTCTAGTCTTTCGTTTGCTTCACGTAAATGTAACCTAAAAACGACAAAAAGACAAAGTTTACTAAATGATTTACGATATTATATCAAAATCGTCTTATTTTCGACTAACTTTTTCAGCAGGTTTTTGTCGACAAATTTTGATTTAGTTTTATAATTATTTTAATTACAAGTTTTATAATTATTAATTACAAGTTTTATAATTATTAATTACAAGTTTTATAATTATAATATATTTGACTGGAATATTATAGAAAAATTTCTGAAACGTATTCATATATATTATTTTACATATTATATTTTCGCGCAAATTATATTTAAGTAAGATGGAAGATGATTGATATATTATATGTACAATGCAAATAGCTGTACTAATATTATTGCCATCAAATGTGGCTTGTGTATCGGACAATAATCCATTGTCCGGAAAGTTATTGCAATAAGAATGTTTCATTTTTTTGTTAATCCAACAAGTTTTGAAACTATCCCTTATATACTCCGTAAAAAGATTATGGCTGCGCTTCAATATTCACTATCAGGATGCAGTCTATAATCTAAACAGAAAAATCTGAACGCTGTGATTGGTAGGCTATAAGACGATAAACATAGAATTCCAACTCGTCAGAAATTTTATCGCTATTGCTTATTTCATGTTCCAATCTGCATTTCTGTATGTTGGATTCTTCTGTTCTTATCGCTATGCTTATTGTCTGTGTTATTTCTATCGCTATCGCTATTCCCTTTCATTGTGTAAGGGCTTTAATATTGGCGCCACAAGTGAAGTGAGCTAGCAGTCCATATTTAAATAGTCAAAGTATACAAAGCATGGTATCTCTATTCACATGTATATATTGGTGCAGTTATATTGTATTTGTGCAGTTTATTTTGTAATAAATACGTTTATTTTGTATATAGTGTTTATTTTTATTTTACGTATCTATTTAATCGTCTAATTATCATTTAATATTGTAAGAATTAGACGATCGTAAGCGGTCATGAAAGAGATTCGGAATATAAACAGCTAACAGAGAGGAGCCGTCGTAGTCGTGCAGACTAAGTGTCGGATTGGTAAACGAGGGATCCCGAGTTCAAATCCAGTCGGTCTCCGTTAATTTTTTTCGAATCTAATAGATATCTTTCAATATCTATTTCAAATTTCGATATTGAAAAGATTATATGTATATATGAAACGAAACTCTATAATTTACTTTAGTTCGCACTTCACCACCAGATGGCAGTCTCATCTTTTGTTGCCTAGAACAGGCAAGTGAGCACTGCTCGCGGGCGTTCAATGTCCGCGGGCAACAGTCGAGCGCGCTGGGGTTAGCGTTAGGCGGCTAGACGCAATAGGAGGAGAGGGGATAGCAGGAACGTCTGTTCGTTGAACGTGTTATTCAAGGAGTAAAAAAATATTGTGTTGCACAAATTCAAACCCAGAATTAGCATAAATTAGTAACTATCTATATTTTAAATAAATCATTCTTACAATAATATTAAATAAGCAACTCTTATAACTATTATCTTTAATTAATATTTGATTCATATTTAGTTTTCCGATATTATATACGATCGATATCAGGTGTTATCGTTTTGACACAACTTAAACGAATTATTG